CCTTTTTGTACTTCTCTCTCTCTCTCTCTCTCTCTCTCTCTCTCTCTCTTTCTCTCTCTCACTTTTGGTCCAGGTTAGCCTTGGATTTCAGGTTAAGCTCCTCAGCAGCTCCAACGACAGGGAGGGCCACATAGGCTAGTTTCAGAAATAATCTTAAAGGTATAGTAGTCAATTCCATACAATTTTTGTCTGAGTTATTTTAAAGCAAAACTGAGTCAGTGTGAATTTTACATATGGAATAAATTCCATAATAAGTAGACTTTAAGTTTTAAATCGCAACATATTGACCAGAAATAACCAGCAAACCTAATAAATGTTACTCTCCAAGGCTGGACTCACATTCAAACACCTCCTGTACCTATGGATGTCACAGTGGAGAGGGTACTTGCTCCGATCCACCCTCACCTGCAGAGTGTAAGAAACACAGGAAACACGCAAATCACTAGCCTGTGTTTCTGGCACTTCTTCGCACAGACTTGTGGGAAGCGTAGTCTTCCGCTGCATCGCTTCACCCGGAGCCATTGTGGAAACCGCACTTCCGCATTGCCTTCGCGCTGGTGCGTTTTCTTGCAAAGTTGGTCGGTTCTTGAGTCCTGCTCCGCGCTCGGGTTGCGTCGCTGACATGGAGGTTGGTCCAGGGCGCCGCGCACCTCTGCAGGTCGGAGGAGCCGCGCGGGGTGGGCGGGTCCGGCGCGGAGGGAGCGGAGGAAGGGTGGACCGGAGGCGGGAAGAAGAGACTTGGTGGAGCCATGCTGACCTAGGCTGGGCCGCAGCGTCTCTGGAAGCCTGTTGGGGTGCGGATGGGGCTACAAGTGAAGGCGCTTTGAGCCCGGGGCGGATGCCTGGGTCCACCCTGAGCTTCTGTTATAGGGGCTGGCTTAGTAGGGAAGGAATCAAGAAGGGTGGAAAATCCGGGGTTGCTCGGGAAGATGGGTCTGCTCACGAAAGTTACTAGTTTCCAAGGTCGAGAGTTTTTGCGAGGGAGATTGGTGTATGTATGTTAGTCCCATTTTCTTTGGAATAGGCTGTTAGATTTATGAACTGCTATTTTGAATAGGAATCCTTCATGATCAACACTGTGACCTGAATCCTGAGACTACCACTCCCATGTAGTGCCAGAATAATCCCTTAAAGGGAAAGATTCGAGCTTTGCAAAAGAAGAAAATACTGATCCTATACCGTCGAGTGAAAAATTCTAGAAAATAATACCTTATTCACTTCCATTAGTTAGTGCAAGATGAGTTAGTTTGAATGTAGAAGTGTGTCTAGGGATTGCCAGTAAAGGGACAAAGGTCCTTGAGTTTCTCTGGGAAGGAGAAATAGTCCTGCATACCCGACAGGCTTTTTAATTGCTCTCTAATCACACTTTCCTTGCGTCGTTGTCTATTAGGTGCGGTGTCTAAATTCTCTAACACTGACTGTCACAGAATATGGTATCTGGGTTCCGTGATTCTCCTTAAATAGTTCTTCTGGAACGATTTACCCAATTATTTATACCGTTTCAAAAGAGTAAAAGATGAATTTGAAGCACTGTGGTGCACTCAGGGTCCTGTAATTTGTACACAGTAGGCCCCTCATCTACTGTCTGTTGTGCTGTTTCCTATTTTGTCACCCCAGTCAAACCAAGTGATGTGCTAGAGACTGGGGTATGCCATAAAGTCTGCTCATGAGAAACATGGTATTTTTAGCCCAGTGGTAGTGATGCACACCTTTAATCCCAGCCCTGTGGAGGCAGAGGCATGTGGATCTCTGTGTTTGAGGCCAGCCTGGTTTACAGAGCAAATTCCAGGACCTCTTATTAAACTTTTCTAACTAAAATATAAAACGGATGTGAAGCTCCACAGCTTCTGTTCCAAACATTTCTAGCTATGTACAAGTTCAGCGAGGTTGTGCATACTTTGGGTCTGGCTAATTTCAGTGTATGATTTCTTTTTCTAAGTTTCTTATGATTAGCCTGATCTTTAAGTCGCCTTATCTTACATACCAGAATTTTCCGTGGAATTTGTAACTATAATTAAAATAGATGGTTCCTAGTTAATGTCAGTAATCTGTAGGCAGTACAATGTTTACACTGCCTTGTGCATAAAAGCTGTCTCTTTACAATGTGTAGATGATGCAGCAGCATGCCCACTTATAACCTAAAGACCCTTCAAGTATGCATAATTTAGAGTAAGCACCTGTGACTGAAGCCTATCTGTGACATAACCCTGCCATCTACATTTGGGAGGTGGAAGCAGGAAATTGGGAGTTCAAGGTTACCGTCAGCCTAGGCTAAATAAAACAATAGTTTTTCTATGCACTAAATACATTTTATGATTCCTGTCGTCTGGTTTAGCACCAGCAACCAGACAGAAATCCTTCTAAATGACATTTTGCTGATTTTCAAAATTTCTACTTGTGGTTGAGAAGTTCTTTTGACCCCGTTTGACATTAAATTTAATATTTTTCTCATGAACATACTTTTGTTAAAGACATTAAATTTTAGAATTAGATACTTGTTTTTGTTTGCTGTGTGGGGAACAATTCTTTTTTCATTTTTTTTACTTCTCCTTTTTTTAATAACTTATATTTATTTATTTAATGTTCATTGATGGTTTGCCCTCATGTATGTCTGTGTGGGGCTGTCAGAAGCACTGGAACTGGAGTTAAAGACAGGTATGAGCTGCCATGTGGGTGCTGGGAATTGAACTTGTGGCCTCTAGAAGAGCATTTGGTGCTCTTAACTGCTGAGCCATGTCTCCAGCACCTGTGGGGAACAATTCTTTGCCTTACCTATTTTCAGAGAACATTGATTACCTTTCGGTATTAAGTTTTGTTAGTTTCTGTAATGACCTCATGGTGCTCTCTTCTGTTTCTTTCCTGATTTCTTCCAATCTCCTTCCCATATGACCTGAGACTTCCATCATTCCCTAATTTTTCACTCTGTGGATGTGACTGATGCAGCCCTCCACAGTTTTACATTCCTCTGTTGCTATGCAGCTTGGATGGCTTGCCCAGTATTTGCACAACAGGTTCAACTCTGTGGGGAACTCCAGGTCTGCATGTGGATAATGACAACCACATTCTCCCCTGTGTCTTCCATGGTATTAAGCCTTGCCCCTTTCCTTACAGTGAAGATAGGGAAGGAGCGATTTATTTTAGAAACTCATGTGTGTGTGTATGTATAGTAACATTGTTATGTTAGACATGTTCTTGGGGAAACTCCACAGGGAAAGTTTGCAGGATGATGATGATGTTTATTTTCTAGTGATCTATGTGACATATGTTGGAAAGCATGGAGAGAAGATACAGAAGTTATTTGTATAGATTGGGGAATAGGAAACAGAAAGTTGCAAGGAATGAAAATGAGGGTTTATAAATATTTCTGTCCTTCAGTCTATACATAGCTGTTTTCAAATACAGTAACATATTTTGAGTTGAAAAATATGTACTGGATTGTGTGGCAGACTCTTCTCAAAGAGATGCAATTATTAAAGAACACGCTGTCTTAAAACCACACCAGATGTATGATAAAGTACAATTATTACCTTCTTTGGGTAGCTGCATAAAGATAAATCAGATGGATGAAAGGATGAGCCTCAACTGTTAACTTATGGATTGCACTTAACATTTCATTAGGAACAAAGAATAATGTACTGAATATTTAAAATCACTGTTACATTTGCACATTGAACATATAAAAAAAAAGAATGTGTTATTTACCTGGAAACTAATGTGCTGTCTAAATATGCATTTCATGTTTTAAATAAATACATAACCTGTTGTCTCCCATACCATTTTTAGTGTTCCAAATAGGCACTCTGAGTCATAGTATTGTGAAATGTGTTGACTGAAAAACAAGAATTAATGATTGCTGCATGTGGGTCAAGAGCTGGGCTAGAGACCTGTGGGTTGGGTACTTTATCATTCATCTGGTATGTCTTTAAGACAGCATGTTCTTTAATCTGTAGATATTCTGTTTCCAATGTAGTCGCTTGTGGCTAAGAGCTAATTGGGAATCTAGCCCTCTCTTTGCATCTAACTTTGACTTCCCCATAAGCTCCTGCTAGTCAAGACTGTTTTGTTTTTATGAAGGGCTATCTCTGAGGGACACAGGCATGGTATGCAGACTTCTTAGGACTTCTACTCTTTCCATTTTGTTGGTCTAGGCTTGTATCTAGGACCAGCCTCCATTCAAAAGAAGTGAAGTTAAAATTTACCACCTGAGCTGTCTCATAGGTAAAAGAACAGTGAAGGATGTGTTTCTCATCTCTCAATTTCATCTCTACAAGTCTAATTTCTTTTCTTAAGAAATGACTGGGGCAGGCATGGTGGCACAGGCCTGTAATCCCAGCATTCAGGGAGGCAAGGGCAGGCAGATCTCTGTGAGTTTGAGGCCAGCCTGGTCTACAAAGTGAGTCCAGGATACACAGACCCTATGTGTGTGTGAGAAAGAGAGAAGAGAGACAGAAGAAGAAGAGGAGAAATGACTGGGTCAGGTGTCATATACTTTCTTTAATCCTAATGCTTGGGAGACAGAGGCAGGTGGATCTTTATGAATTTAAGGCCAGCCTCATCTACATAATGAGTTCCAGGACATCCAGAGTTTCATAGTGTTACTGTGTTTAGCCATATTTTATCATTCCACTTGTGACTTGAGGATCTGTCTGTTGACACCCTCCTTGTCACTGTTTTCCTCTGCTGTTTTGGAAGACTATTTCCAATGTATAGCTTTCTCTTCATTGCGGCTCTGCCACTGACTCTTGAATCAAGTTTTTTGTTCTGTGGCCTTATCTGTTAGGGAGCAGCTTTGTTTATGTATTCATGCTTGTTCTTTTCCATCCATCATGTGTGGCATATCATCCCTCACCTTTCCTGTCTTCTATTTCTGCTCGGATAACCTAGTTAGGATTTTACAGAAGTACCTTCTGGGTGAGAAGCCATTGTTTTTCTGCTCCTATTAGAATTACTTAACACAACTTGCTTAGCCTTCTTGAATTTCTTCAGTGTTTTATCTAGAGTAATGTTTGTTTAAAGTTTTGATTAGTTTTCATCACTTATTTCATATAGTGTAAGTTTAAAAATTATTTTTCTCTTTTTTATGTTTTTGTTTTTTTTTTTTTTTTTTTTTAAATAAGGGAGGTCTTCATATATCACAGGCTAGCCTTAAATATCTTATGCAGATGAGGCTGGCCATGAACACCTGATATTCCTATTTACACCATTCAAGAACTGAAATTACAAACATATAACACCATTCTGTTTTCCTCCTTTTATTCTGTATATAGTGTTTCATAAATCCTTTACACTCTCTTCAGTTTTTTTTTTTTTTTCCTTTTTCTTTCCTTATTGTGTCTGTTTATATATATAGGACACATACCATGCTATGCCATGCAGGAGCAGAATTTAACAATCATTGTACCAGGCTATAGAAATGGCTCAGAGGTTAAGAGCACTTGCTGCTCTTCCAGAGGTCCTGAGTTCAATTCTCAGCAACCACAACCATCTATAATAAAATCTGGTGCCCTCTTCTGGAGTACAGGTGTACATGCAAACACAACATTGTATATATAATAAATAAATCTTTTGAAAAAAATCATTGTACTAGGGATCCACTTCAGGACATTACACTGGACTCCAAGAGCCACCCTACAGGCCTTCAGTATTTTTGATGTCTTTTTTTTTTAATGCTATTGTAACTTATGGCAGCCTTCCTGTTTGCTGAGGCTTCCTTCTGCCAGACACTTTCTAGTGTTCAGTCCTTTATTATTTGCTATTTAGTATGGCATTTTCAGCTCTACCACTGTGTACATGTTTGTTTACTTACTTACTTACTTACTTACTTACTTACTTATTGGTTTTTCAAGACAGGGTTTCTCTGTGTAGCCTTGGCTGTCCTGGACTCGCTTTATAGGCCAGACTGACCTTGAACTCACAGAGATCTGCATGCCTCTGCTCCCTAAATGCTGGGATTACAGGCGTGCACCACTGCACCTGGCTTGCTTTTTGTATTTATTGTATGGTTGATGTCTGATGCTCTTGTTTACATATGCAGTTATTATCTTAGCTTTTTGTTTAGTTGTCTGAATTCTCCTTTAGATCATTAACACAGGTAGCATGTTCAGGGCATCTTTGGAATGTTTTGTTTTTTCTTTGGCCCATGTTTCCTAATTTTATTCTTTATAATACTTATTGGTATTTGGCCTTTGAGAATAACAGTGACCACCCATCTTGAGCTAGAATTTATAGGATGGTTCTACTCTTTACCATCATGAGAAAGGACTAGGAAATTGGAGGCTGTCCTCTAAACCTTGCCTTGCTTGTCCACATATGAGTAGTATGTGACAAGCGTAGCAACCTGACTTTTGCTAAACAACTAAGTGTAGTTTGGCTTCATACACAAAATCCATACAGTAAAGGGAAATTATTAATAGGAAGTTGACAAGTTAATAAAAATTGTAAAATGAAGCTCAAATAATCGCAAGTAACTGGAAATAATACCAGGGTCAATATTATCTCATTCTTGTGCTTAAACAGGTCTCAGTGGTGTCATTAAGAAGAGCAAAAGTACCATCCTCATTGATGCACAGTTGTACATTTTCCTGTCGTCAGAGCCACGAATACTTTCTGATGCTTTTCTAAGTTTACTTCCTGCTTTTACTAGTGCTGCAGCAAGTGCAAATAACATTTTACTAGATTTGTTTTTCTGACCCTTCAAGTTTCCTTTACTCATTTCAGTTACACTGATATCAGTATTCTTTCAACGTGAATGCCTAAATTTTACTTTATATTCCCTTTTCTATAATTTTTCTACAATTTTGAAATCACTCAAATGTGACTGAAATCTATTATTTTCTTGATTTTTGACAGTGACGTTGTGGTGCACATGTATATAATGCAAATCTGTTCACTCACACAAAACATAAAATCCTGTCATTTGGGTCAGTATGGAAGAGACTGGAAATTATTATTTCAGATACAGAAAGACAACTATCACATGGCCTGCAACATAGGTTGAGTCTAAAGAATTTTAACCTACAGAAGTTGGAGAAATAATGTTTTTTCCCATCAGCCACATACATCAGGAAAGGGAGACATTGGAAAATATTGGTGCTCTTACACAATGAGGTAGAAGGAAGAAACATAATGGTAAATGTTGCCCAGAACGGGGACTGTAAGTAACCATTTTGTAGTATATATTACAGAAGACTGTAAGACAGATTTTTGTTGTTTGGTTGGTTTTTTGTTTGTTTGGTTGTTTTTTTGGTTGGTTGTTTTGTTTTGTTTTGAGACAGGCTCTCTCTATGTAGTCCTGGCTGCCCTAGAACTTGCTATGTAAACCAAACTGGCCTGAAACTCAAAGAAACCACCTGCCTTTGCCTCCCAAGTTCTGGGATTAATGACATGCATCACCACACCTGGTTTAAGGACTTTGGACATTTTAAACTTAAAAGTTAAGTGTTTAAGGAAATGATCATTCTAAAACTGATATAAAGACAATGCAGTACCTACCAGTAACAATATAAAAAAAGTACCCCTTTTAACATGTAAATCTGGTTTTCTATTATTTAGCCATAGAAAGGAAAAATAATGTACTGCTTCATTGAACATTTGAGAACTTTATGCAATGAGGTGAAAAGCAATCCCAACACTAACATGTAAAAAAATTAAAAATAAAGAAAAAATCATGATAGAATCATAAATTAAAATTTTTAAACTCAGCAGATTAAGATAAAGTCACGAGTTCAAAAGCTGCTTTATGAATATGTTAAACAGATGAATACTTGTCAAAGAAAGATAAACATATAGAAGGCTGGAAAGGGGTAATAAAAGAATGTTAATCTAGTTATTTTAAATATTAAAGTGTTATTACTGTACTTCCTAAGACTGCATTCATAAGCACAGAATGTTTATTGGCACTTATATTATTAGTTATTATTATACTCTGTTATTCATTCATTCATCTTTACCTCAGGAAATGCTGTCATTCAGGGATGTGGCCATTGACTTCTCTGCAGAAGAGTGGGAATGCTTGGAGCCTGCTCAGTGGAATTTGTACAGGGATGTGATGTTGGAGAATTACAGCAACCTTGTCTTCCTGGGTGAGGATCACTTCCATAGTAAATTCTTCTTTCTGTATGTCTGTGGGGTAGTAGTTGTTGGTTTTATATTTTGAGCCAGAGTCCTTCTATGTAGCCCTGGCTGTTCTGGAACTCTTTGTAGAACAGACTGGCTCTAACTCAAAGATCCTCCTGCCTCTGCCTCTTAAGTGCTGATATTTATGTGCCCTTATCTAAGGAAGAATTGGGAGGTTGTTGATGTAACTAAGACAATTTTTTTTCCTTCTTGTTATTTTAACTTGTTTCTTAGAAATATCCTTCCAGGGTCCAGCCGTGGGTGAGGACAGGGCTTGAGTGGATGCAAGAACCACGAGAGGAGAATCACACACAGGACACTTTTTAGTTTTGTTTCATGAGAGACAGGACAGAGAGGAAGCACATCTTGTATGGCTTGACCTACTCTGACAACCTGTGTCTCTTACAGGCTTTATTTATACATAAAATATTTCCTCAGAAACTTTAATCATTGATTACACAGCTTTTTAGAATACATTTTTTTCCAGAATCTTCCTTGATTATTGAAAAAAAAGAAAGTGAACAAAAAGCAAATTTCATGAAAACTAAAAAGTAACATGATAAAATGAGTTTTCTTTTAACTCAAAATTTTCTTCCTTAAGATTGGTGTTGTAACACCTTGTGGTTATAGAAATACTAGACAGGATGACTCTATTTGAGTTTGATTTTGTTTCAGTTTGGCATAGAATTAATAGATGAGAAATTATTTCCTTCTGCCTGTTATATCAAACTTATCTTTCTGCAGAAGTCCAATCTCTGACCCTTGTTTGATTTTTCCTTTCCTTTCTCTGTTTTTCTTTCATATTTAACAGAAGACTACCATACTTGCCTTTGGTTCTTTTCTTATATATTTTATGTGTACAGGTGTTGTGTCTGCATTTATATCTGCATACCAGAACAGATCAGATTTCACAGGACTGCAGCTATAGTCAATTGTGAGCCACCATGTCGGTGCTGAGAATTGAACTCTGTACATCTGAAATAGCAGCCAGTACTCTTAACCACTGAGCCACCTCTCCAGCCCTTCTTAGATCTTAAAAAGTTACACAGCCTTTTGCATAAACAAAGGCAGTGTGTGCTTTGTTTTCTCCAATATCAGAAAGGTCCTGATTGGACTAGTCTGCTCAGGAAAGCCAGCAGTTCACCCAACTTTTCTTTGTGCCTCTGTCATGAACCCTTGTTTCAGTACTATTCCTGTATTTGTTACAATCCTGTAAAGGATAGAAGAACATCAGGATTCCTTAAAGTGCTTACTTTGCCTTCAGGAAGGTACCAAGGTTTGTTATTAATAGCATGATCAAAATCTTCTTCTGTCCATATTAGTTTCTTGTTTCAAAGCTAGACATGAAAATCCAGTGATTCAGTTACAGCTTGTCAGCTTTTAGAATTTCCCTAAAAGTTTTTCTTACTTAGTGAATTTTCTTGGATCTTCTGTCTCATGCTTACTAGTATCCCTTATTTAATAATCCCAAGTATGTGTCTAAATAAACTCTATAAAAGACTCAATTGTCTGCATAGCTGTTTTTCCCAGGGAAGTTCCATTAGCTTTATTCTTATTAACACCAGTTCTTGTTATATCTCCCATCGCTAGCTTTTAGAGAGAGGCCTTTAACAGGAAGTAAAAAATATGCAGCAATTTTCCACCAAGGGCAATAAAGGATCAGTGCAGGTCATCGCAGTACTGGAACTTTGTCAAGCAGTGCCTTCAGGATGCTTGGCCTCACTGGTATCCTTTACTGTAGTGGTAATGTCCACAGCCATGAGGCATACCCTTGAGTTTTAGTATTTTCTCTTGTAAATGAAGAAAATGAAGCTCATACCCCCACCCCCCCCCCAAGAGCACAATTCTGAAATAGATATCTAGTTTCCTAGGTGAAAAACACACAAACAATCTTATTCCTTTTTCCCCACAAACAGGTCTTGCTTTCCCTAAGCCATACCTGGTCACGTTTCTGGAGCAAAGACAAGAGCCTTCAGATGTGACAAGACCAGCAGCAGCCACCATGCACGCAGGTGTGTAGGAATGAGGGGTCAGAGGACAGAGTGGGAGTCAGAAAGCTGGACTTTACCATGTACACTGAGATGTTATGTTGTAATGGAAATCAATTTTTAGGTATCCCACTTATTTATTAATTCATTTCTATCAGAAGACATCTGTCAAATGTTGCTTTATGTCTCTAAGTTTTGTTTTCCCCTCCACAGAACTCTGCTTGTGGTCATAGTGACTAGCAAAGTTGTCATTGTTGCTGAGAATCTGCATTGCAGCAGATTTTTTACTGTTTCTTATACTTAGGAAAATTTATACATGTGTTTAAAGACCTATGTGTGAAGCCATTATAATATACTGTAATCACAAATAAACTTTTTTCACATTACTTACATGTATGGTAATTCAATTTTTCTTAGGTGTTATGAATGATTAAAATGTATTCTCGTAAAGTTTTCTTCTCTCTCATACTATGTTTGTTACCTATTTAAAATACATAGCCTTTGGGGATATTTTTACATGTAAGCTAAATGTGTTTGTGAATAGGGTATACAATACTAAACACTTTAGGACAGTGTAAGATTAAACCAGTGAACTTTGGTTCTGTGGGCCTCAGAACTGTGTTTCCACTTCATGTGAAAGCATGAGGCTCCTGTGTTCATGCCTTGTATACTGACTGCTTTTCCAAAGGTCCTGAGTTCAATTCCCAGACAACCACATGGTGGCTCACAACCATCTATAATGAGATCTGGTGCTCTCTTTTGGCGTGCAGGTGTACATGCAAGCAGAATATACTGTATACATAATAAATAAGTAAATCTTTAAAGAAAAGTTTAAAAAAAATAACTAATTGTTATGCAGCATATATTTTGTATCTTCCAAATTAAATTTAGGTTAAAAAGTGTGTATTTCTACACATTCTGCCAACTCCAGAAATCACCATTAATATAACATTTCCTCTATTTAGTTAGTTATATTTTTTATATATGTTGTATAATTTCTATATTTTTAGTGGCCTCATTTCTGTTACCATAATGTCCTTAGGAATTCCCATTATTATTGATGGTACAACCTTCTTTGCTATTTAACTGTTAATAATATCTTATTATTTCTGTGTTCTATTTGGTCTTCTTATTTCAGTGAAAATTTTGATTGTTTCCATTCACTGCATTTTCTGAATTACATTGTAGGGAATATAGGTGTGGAAATTTGTAATTTCTGAGTAAAGGTGTTTATATTAAAGATAAGCATTATAAATATAAAGATTGTTACTCAGTTTTTAATTTATATCTCAACTTTTACTCACCAGATATAAAACCATATACATGTAAAGAATGTGGCAAAGCCTGTGAATGGAACTCACTCCTTGAACACCAGACAGTGTATCCAGGAGAGAAAGCTTATAAGTGTGAAGAATGTGGTAAGGCTTCTGGTTCTTGCTCAGTACCTTCTGAACACCAGATAATTGATATAGGAGAGACATCCTACAAGTGTGAAGAATGTGGCAAAGTCATTTGTATTTGCTCAGAAAATTCTAGCTACCAGAGAATTTGTAGTGGAGAGAATCACTACAAGTGTGAAGAATGTGGAAAAACCTTTTTTACTCAATCATGTCTTACTCAGCACGAGGTAGAACACACTGGACAGAAATTCTATAACTGTGAAGAATGTGGGAAACTGTTTTATTGTCCTTCTCAACTTACAGAACATCAAAAAATTCATTCTCAAGAGAATCCCTTTAAGATTGAGGTATGTAGTGAGGTCTTTTGTGTTCCCATAGAACTTTCTGAGGACCAGAGATTTTGTACTGAAGAGAAGCCCTATAAATATGAAGACTGTGTCAAGGCCTTTACTGCTTGCTCAGGACTGTCTGAACACCCAAGGATTCATCCAGGAGAGAAAGCCTACAAGTGTGAAGAATGTGGTAATGCCTTTTGTACACTCCATTCAGTATCTAAACACCTGAAAATTCATTGTGAAGTGAAATCCTACAAGTGTGAAGAATGTGGGAAAGCCTTTGCTAGTCATCTTTCCCTGATTCAGCATAAGATAGGTCATACCCGAGAGAAACCTTACCAATGTGAAGAATGTGGCAAAATGTTTTACTGTACTTCAAACCTTAAACAACATCAAATAACTCATTCTCAAGAGAAACCCTACAAGTGTGAAGTATGTGGCAAGGTTTTTAGAACTTGCTGGCAACTTTCTAAACATCTAAGAATCCATTCTGGAGAGAAACCGTACAAGTGTGAGGAATGTGGCAAAGCCTTTTATACTCTCTCATATCTTACTCAGCACAAAT